GTTGACGGAGAGTTGTGGGTTGGAGTGTACGGTGGAACATTGAGCGGTGTTGGAGAGTTGTGGGTTGGAGTGTACGGTGGAACATTGAAGGTGTTGTCGGGAGAGATGTGGAACTATATAATTAAATAAAGAACCGAGGAAAGACAAGAAGCTGTCGTGTCGGTATGAGCACTACATTATTAGCGCTATTACCGATACCCCAGTGAAGCCCTCATATTACTACTATGAGCCAAGAATGTCTGTGTGTAACTCACGTGACGTCACTCAACATGCCGCACCCCCCACGTCACTGTGTGATGAGTCTATGGCTTTCTGTGCGGTGAGTATGTGGGTCTCTGTGTTGTGAGTCTGTGGGTCATTGTGTGGTGAGTCTGTGGTTCTCTGTGTGGTGAGTCTGTGGGTCTCTGTGTAGTGAGTCTGTGGGTCTCTGTGTGGTGATTCTGTGGTTCTCTGTGTGGTGAGTCTGTGGGTCTCTGTGTGGTGAGTCTGTGGGTCTCTGTGTGATGAGTCTATGGCTCTCTGTACGGTGAGTATGTGGGTCTCTGTGTTGTGAGTCTGTGAGTATCTGTGTGGTGAGTCTGTGGATCTGTGTGGTGGGTCTGTGTGGTGAGTCTGTGGGTATCTGTGTGGTAGGTCTGTGTGGTGGGTCTGTGTGGAGAGTTTGTGGGTGTCTGTGTGGTGAGTCTATGGGTCTCTGTGTGATGAGTCTATGGGTCTCTGTGTGGTGAGTCTATGGTTCTCTGTTTGGTGAGTCTGTGGGTCTATGTGTGATGAGTCTATGGGTCTCTGTGTGATGAGTCTGTGGGTCTCTGTGTGATGAGTCTATGGGTCTCTGTGTGGTGAGTCTGTGGTTCTCTGTTTGGTGAGTCTGTGGGTCTATGTGTGATGAGTCTATGGGTCTCTGTGTGATGAGTCTGTGGGTCTCTGTGTGATGAGTCTATGGGTCTCTGTGTGGTGAGTCTGTGGAACCCGTGAAGTGAGCGGGGTCATCGTGAGAGCCCGGGAACGTGAGAGGGTGGAAGTCGGGACCCAGGGTAGGGGAAATTAGCACCAGGCTAGGGGGGGCTGCTTTACCCTGTCGGCCGATGTTGGTTAAGCCCTCAGCTCGGCGAAGAGCCCGGATAGCTGGTGTGCTAGGCAACCCAGTACCCTACCCCTGTGGAGATGTATATTAACCCTAACCAGTAATAGGCGTAAGCCCCTAATAAACCCTTGGCGAAAGCCCCTAAGAAGATCTACCTCTGAGTCGTCTTTAACAACACAACAACTGGCATCAGAAGTGGACTCTTTCAAGGCTAAGTTACATGAAGAAAAATGGCGATGCACTTGAAAAAGCGGAACCCACCTGTTGCGTCTTCCGACAACGAAGAAGCAGCGACATGGGATCGGACGACCCCGGGCTCCGTGGCCCCCGGTTATTGCGGCCACGGCTGGTGTCTCTACCGCACCAGTGGATGACATCGGGCATGCTGGGAAGACGGTCGCCATTACGCGTCCTCCAGCGACCACGTGGTAGGCTGCCGCCATCTTGGCCTTCGCGGCGGAGAAGCGGTCGGGAGCGGCCATTTCAGAGGTGCCACATGGTGCGCATCCTGCTGCTGATGCAGCTGTTGCGCGGGAAGGAGCCGCAAGGAGAGGACACCGTGGTCGCTGCGAGGGCTGGCGGGAGAAGTCGGAGGGCAAGCGGGCCCCGCGGTGGGGCCACCATTTCGGCGGTTGGCAGGGGACGCTGTTCCCGCCAAAACGCCGTTCCCGCCATCGGAGAGCGTGATCCCGTCATGCTATGGCTGACGGCTTGACCTGACAGCCTGGAGGTTGAGACCCTCTGTGGTGCGTCTGGAGCTGTAGGCTCGCCCTGACGGCCCGGAGATTGAAACACTCCGAGGCACGTTGAAACAGTGGGCTGGAAGTTCGTGGTGTTCAGGTGTTGTTGTCCAGTTGCGTTGGGACTGTATCCCTCCGTTGTTAGGGTGCATTTTGTGCAGTAGGTGGGCGATAGCTGTTCTCGGCTCGGTCGGTACGGCTATAGGCTGCGATGCGGGTCTCGGAGAGAGACTTGGTTAACGTTCCCCTGATACGGCCGATGCGTGTGCGTCGGGAAGGTGGGGGGTGATGCCATGGCTGCTCTCGGCTCGGTCGGTACGGCTATAGGCTGCGATGCGGGTCTCGGAGAGAGACTCGTCGGAAAGGCGGGGTGTGATGCCTGGTGGCATAAGATGCCCGGGGTGGCCTTCAAGGGAGGGCTGCTACGTTGTGCGAGCGCGGGAAACCACGCGTGCAGCCGCCATGTTGTGCATGCACGGGAAATCGCCGAGATGCGGTTCGTGCATGCAGACGCCATTTTGTGCGAGCGCGTGAGGCCGCGAAGATGCGGATCACGCGTGCGGCCGCCATTTTGGGCGAAGCACAGGAAACCGTGGGGAAGCCGTTTGCGCGTGCGGCCGCCATTTCGGCCAATTTTCACGCCAAACTTTTTTCTTTAACTAAAATGCAGATCCTGGGGGCGTCCCTGAAGCGCGACTTCTTCGCCCCGGGACATGGGTTGGTTCTGACGCATGACGTCTCGACCCGGGATGTCGGATGACGTCCTGATTGGGGTGTGTGTGTGAGCGCTAGGCAGCTCTTCCATCTTCGTTCTATCACTGCCTAGTGGATGGAACGTGGCTGGGGGTCGGGGAACCCTGCCATCCGTGTTGTGTGAGTGAAGGTGTACATACAGTGGAACCCCGAAGATCGAACTTAATTTGTTCCAGACGCCCATTTCCACACCGATTTGGTCGAACACCGATTTGTTCGGGTTCTGGTGCGTTCCATCTCCGAGATTCTACTCTATTTGGTTTCATCGCCGTGTTGGTTGTGCATCAAACGCGTCTGAATTTGTCTATTATTTTTTTTCCTCTTCTCTCGCACCGGCCGGAATCCCCTCATCTCCACTGCTTAGGGGCCGGGTGACTGTTGTGTCCGCCAAGCCGGGCCGCACAGGTTGTGATAGCATGAGCGATCCCATCCCTTTGTGTGTGCCTGCAGAAACCCCGCCAGTAATTCCACGAGTGGCGCCTCACCCAGTGGATGTGCTGGTGGACTTGACACCTGCCAGTACACCGCCGATTCCGACGCCGACGCGGGGAAGCGGGCCGGCGTCATGCACACCTTCGCGGGGCGTGCGGATACGGTGACGGTCAGTGGGGCCGTTTCTTCGTCCCTTGCCTTCTTCGGACACTTTTACGGTGTCCCATGTGGGAACTGTCCCCAAAGTTTCCCTGTACCGTGCTGCCCTAGTGTGGGGTTGTGTTCTTGCAGCTGGTCCTGTTCTCTTCACACACATGTCACTTGCGCTCTTTTGATGTGGTTGTTTCCCCATCCGAGTTGCCGGGCTCCGCTCTCGTAATGTGATGACATTACGTCTCGCTCACCCTCTGGTGCCATGACGTCACAGGATGTGGCGTCAGGTGGACTTTCCGGTATGATAACGTCACGGGCGGTGACATAATGTCCTGGAGTACTTAAGCTGGAACCCATGAAGTGGGCGGGGTCGTCGTGAGAGCCTGGGAACGTGAGAGGGTGGAAGTCAGGACCCAGGGTAGGGGAAATTAGCACCAGGCTAGGGGGGGCTGCTTTACCCTGTCGGCCGATGTTGGTTAAGCCCTCGGCTCGGTGAAGAGGGAAGAGCCCGGATAGCCGGTGTGCTAGGGAACCCAGTACCCTACCCCTGGGGAGATGTATATTAGCCCTAACCAGTAATAGGCGTAAGCCCCTAATAAACCCTTGGCGAAAGCCCCTAAGAAGATCTGCCTCCGAGTCGTCTTTAACAACACAACACTATGAATTGGAGGTGACCTGCATAAAAAAAAAATGTAATTATAATTCATGTTGTTATAACAATTCTATTTATATTCTTGGGTCTTTCTGTAAAGTCATGTAGATAGGTTAAAATAAAATAAAAATAACAAAACTAAGACGTTTCGATTGCAATGCGATCAAAACGTCGTAGTTTTCTGTTATTTTTGATTATTTTCTTTGAAGCTATCTACGTGACTTTACCGAAAGACCCAAGAATATGAATTCCTGCAGTCACGGAAGCTTTAAGTGAATTCTATTTAATTAAGTAGAACGTGTTATATTAATTTAAAGTTGCGCATTTTGATGTGACGTCACATTTCTCAAACCCCCCCTCCCCCCTCGTAAGACATCGTCACAAATGTCTGACTCCCCTCCCCCCTAGGTGCTTGACATCATTTATGGACGGCCCCCAACACCGATGACGATTCTCTGAATGATAACCTGCTGTATGTTGTCGATGAGTATGCCAAAATTGAGAGTGAACGCCTTTTTTACATTCAACTGAATCAAAAACGCCTGCGTGTAGAACAGTATGATAATCTCAGGGACGCTATCAATGGTGAGGGAGATGCAAACGCTCAGAATGTGGGGAGATTAGTTATTTTGCATTCATCCTTCACAGAGTTAGCCTGATAACTTTAATCTGCATTGTCTTATGGTTGTTATTGTTTGACTTGCATCCAAAGGGATTTTTGCACACAGCGTTGAAGTACTGTGTTTTTGTGGAAGACTTTGCTGTTTTTTCCAGGATTTTTATGTTGCGTGTAGTCACTTTAAGATGTTTCTTGTTCACGTGTATTTTGTGTTGTGGTTGCACCCGAGTCAAGAGCCGCATGGCTCACAGGGTTAGACCTAATACATGAAAATGAAACTGAAAACTTATGTTTCAGCAGAACCAATTTTTACGAATGACTGTAAACTTATATTATTCCCTTAACTTCAAAGGCCCGGGGTGACGTATGTTGAGTCTGCTTGGTTGCTTCCGATTTACAAGCCATTAAAACAAATACCACTGGCGGCTCATTAACGTAATTTACCCATTAATCCTGTCCATTTCATTCATTATGTCCGGTTCAGCGGCCACGCCCAATAACTCCATATTTGGGCACGCCTCGTTAACATAATCTCTTAATACACATCCGTGTTAACTTGTGGGGAGGCGGTGTGGGTGCTAGTGACGTCATGTCATTTCTCCCGCTGCGTGCTTCCGTGTGACGTCACGAGATTCCCAGGAGCTGCTTCTGTGCGCGCAACTCTCTCGGATCGGAGGTGAGAAGTTCACATCGTGATGTTGGTTGTTGTTGTTGTTTACCCAGGTACAGCCTCGCTTCTTCCCTCTCTCTCTCGTAGCGATAGCAATTGAGTAGCGGCAAGTATGGAATCGATGTCCAGGTTGGAACGTTACTACGTGGGGCCGAGCCATGCAGGCCTTGCCTCCTGCCCTTGCCTGACTGACTTTGCTTTGATTCTCTTAAGTTTAATGTGTCTTCACCTGGCTGACTACTTCACCTCTCAGAGTCTCCATACTCTAGTTCAGGATCATCGAGTTTTGTTTTGTATTCCCGATTGAGTAATTTGCAGGCCACTTTTCAACACTGGAATATTTGGACGAAACCAGCCCAGACGTTTACTTTTAGTCGGAATGAGACATCAAAGCATTACACAATTACACTCGCCCACCCACACGCTCACCCACACGCTCCCACTCATACACTTACACGCTCACCCACTGTCAGCGAGCATCTATGAAGGCCGGCACGGCACACGAAGTGGTAGGTGACCAGCACCACGCCCGGACTGCCTTTGTCTCCCGAGTGGCGATGTTTACACACCGCACAAGGTACTAATTGGAGGCTGAGTTGACCTAGGGGAGGCTTAGGACCAGTTCAGATATGTCACTAGTGTTGGCTTTGAGGGGAAATCGAACCCGGGTCGCCGGTTTATAGCACAGCGGGATAACCGATACACTACCGCCCACCCACACACACACAAAGACAACGTTTAAATGGGTGAGTTTTCAAGACGAACTTAATTATATCTATCGACTCTGTCTTTCTAATCAGGGTGACCGCTTCATTTGACCAGAGTGGTGAACCTGGAATGCTGGATTGGTGACGTTTGCACGGCAGTGGGTTCAGCCTGCTTGGACAGTGCGTGGGCAAAACCTGCCCTGTCACAGAGAGAGGCAGACTGACCAGTGGCTTCCAAGTCGGTGTGAGTGCCCTTGCCCTTTACACCCAAAGCTCGCTTAGCGCTCCTCCAGATGCTTTGTTCCTGGAGAATTGAGCGCCAATCGATCAGCGCTACAAGGGGTCATCATGAACCCATTGTATACTATATAGCGATGCGTTCCTGACAATGTTATATCTTTAGTCTGAATAATATATGGGGGCTTTATTTGGGTATCGGTAATAGAGCTAATAATACAGATGCTAAACATTTAATACAAATAATGATTTATAACATCGGTATTATGTACTCTACTTACGAGTGCATTCTACTTTACTCATCCTACAAGGTAGTGGGGGGAGACAAGGTTGAAGGAGCTGCTGCGCTTCCAGTCTGGGTCATTCTCAGAGAAAGGGTCCAGGACCTCCCTGATCTTAGTGAAGCCCTCAATCTAAATTTGTGTGGCTAGGTTTTCTTAGGTGGAGCCTGCGACACTATTCTGGTCTATGGGGACCTCATTTGCCAGTAAAAATATGATAATTGGTTCTTTACCCTTCTATCTGGCAACAAAACTGACACCTTTTTGCAAGGAGTCATGTTTGCATAGACCGCAATACCTGCAGTCATAAATACAAACAAAAGACATAACTCTGATAATGTGCACTGTCCTTGAAGTTGATTGGTCCACACCCGAGACAGCTTTCCTTCGAGCCTAGTCTCATATGGGTTGGACCAGATGACGCCAAAAGGCGCACAACTCAAGGACAATGCACCATCAGAGTATGAGAGCTCGGGGCAAGCATCTACACTATGGGGACCTCATTTGCCAGTAAAAATATGATAATTGGTTCTTTACCCTTCTATCTGGCAACAAAACTGACACCTTTTGGCAAGGAGTCATGTTTGCATAGACCGCAATACCTGCAGTCATAAATACAAACAAAAGACATAACTCTGATAATGTGCACTGTCCTTGAAGTTGATTGGTCCACACCCGAGACAGCTTTCCTTCGAGCCTAGTCTCATATGGGTTGGACCAGATGACGCCAAAAGGCGCACAACTCAAGGACAATGCACCATCAGAGTATGAGAGCTCGGGGCAAGCATCTACACTATGGGGACCTCATTTGCCAGTAAAAATATGATAATTGGTTCTTTACCCTTCTATCTGGCAACAAAACTGACACCTTTTTGCAAGGAGTCATGTTTGCATAGACCGCAATACCTGCAGTCATAAATACAAACAAAAGACATAACTCTGATAATGTGCACTGTCCTTGAAGTTGATTGGTCCACACCCGAGACAGCTTTCCTTCGAGCCTAGTCTCATATGGGTTGGACCAGATGACGCCAAAAGGCGCACAACTCAAGGACAATGCACCATCAGAGTATGAGAGCTCGGGGCAAGCATCTACACTATGGGGACCTCATTTGCCAGTAAAAATATGATAATTGGTTCTTTACCCTTCTATCTGGCAACAAAACTGACACCTTTTTGCAAGGAGTCATGTTTGCATAGACCGCAATACCTGCAGTCATAAATACAAACAAAAGACATAACTCTGATAATGTGCACTGTCCTTGAAGTTGATTGGTCCACACCCGAGACAGCTTTCCTTCGAGCCTAGTCTCATATGGGTTGGACCAGATGACGCCAAAAGGCGCACAACTCAAGGACAATGCACCATCAGAGTATGAGAGCTCGGGGCAAGCATCTACACTATGGGGACCTCATTTGCCAGTAAAAATATGATAATTGGTTCTTTACCCTTCTATCTGGCAACAAAACTGACACCTTTTTGCAAGGAGTCATGTTTGCATAGACCGCAATACCTGCAGTCATAAATACAAACAAAAGACATAACTCTGATAATGTGCACTGTCCTTGAAGTTGATTGGTCCACACCCGAGACAGCTTTCCTTCGAGCCTAGTCTCATATGGGTTGGACCAGATGACGCCAAAAGGCGCACAACTCAAGGACAATGCACCATCAGAGTATGAGAGCTCGGGGCAAACATCTACACTATGGGGACCTCATTTGCCAGTAAAAATATGATAATTGGTTCTTTACCCTTCTATCTGGCAACAAAACTGACACCTTTTTGCAAGGAGTCATGTTTGCATAGACCGCAATACCTGCAGTCATAAATACAAACAAAAGACATAACTCTGATAATGTGCACTGTCCAACTTCAAGGACAGTGCACATTATCAGAGTTATGTCTTTTGTTTGTATTTATGACTGCAGGTATTGCGGTCTATGCAAACATGACTCCTTGCAAAAAGGTGTCAGTTTTGTTGCCAGATAGAAGGGTAAAGAACCAATTATCATATTTTTACTGGCAAATGAGGTCCCCATAGTGTAGATGCTTGCCCCGAGCTCTCATACTCTGATGGTGCATTGTCCTTGAGTTGTGCGCCTTTTGGCGTCATCTGGTCCAACCCATATGAGACTAGGCTCGAAGGAAAGCTGTCTCGGGTGTGGACCAATCAACTTCAAGGACAGTGCACATTATCAGAGTTATGTCTTTTGTTTGTATTTATGACTGCAGGTATTGCGGTCTATGCAAACATGACTCCTTGCAAAAAGGTGTCAGTTTTGCTGCCAGATAGAAGGGTAAAGAACCAATTATCATATTTTTACTGGCAAATGAGGTCCCCATAGTGTAGATGTTTGCCCCGAGCTCTCATACTCTGATGGTGCATTGTCCTTGAGTTGTGCGCCTTTTGGCGTCATCTGGTCCAACCCATATGAGACTAGGCTCGAAGGAAAGCTGTCTCGGGTGTGGACCAATCAACTTCAAGGACAGTGCACATTATCAGAGTTATGTCTTTTGTTTGTATTTATGACTGCAGGTATTGCGGTCTATGCAAACATGACTCCTTGCAAAAAGGTGTCAGTTTTGTTGCCAGATAGAAGGGTAAAGAACCAATTATCATATTTTTACTGGCAAATGAGGTCCCCATAGTGTAGATGCTTGCCCCGAGCTCTCATACTCTGATGGTGCATTGTCCTTGAGTTGTGCGCCTTTTGGCGTCATCTGGTCCAACCCATATGAGACTAGGCTCGAAGGAAAGCTGTCTCGGGTGTGGACCAATCAACTTCAAGGACAGTGCACATTATCAGAGTTATGTCTTTTGTTTGTATTTATGACTGCAGGTATTGCGGTCTATGCAAACATGACTCCTTGCAAAAAGGTGTCAGTTTTGTTGCCAGATAGAAGGGTAAAGAACCAATTATCATATTTTTACTGGCAAATGAGGTCCCCATAGTGTAGATGCTTGCCCCGAGCTCTCATACTCTGATGGTGCATTGTCCTTGAGTTGTGCGCCTTTTGGCGTCATCTGGTCCAACCCATATGAGACTAGGCTCGAAGGAAAGCTGTCTCGGGTGTGGACCAATCAACTTCAAGGACAGTGCACATTATCAGAGTTATGTCTTTTGTTTGTATTTATGACTGCAGGTATTGCGGTCTATGCAAACATGACTCCTTGCAAAAAGGTGTCAGTTTTGTTGCCAGATAGAAGGGTAAAGAACCAATTATCATATTTTTACTGGCAAATGAGGTCCCCATAGTGTAGATGCTTGCCCCGAGCTCTCATACTCTGATGGTGCATTGTCCTTGAGTTGTGCGCCTTTTGGCGTCATCTGGTCCAACCCATATGAGACTAGGCTCGAAGGAAAGCTGTCTCGGGTGTGGACCAATCAACTTCAAGGACAGTGCACATTATCAGAGTTATGTCTTTTGTTTGTATTTATGACTGCAGGTATTGCGGTCTATGCAAACATGACTCCTTGCAAAAAGGTGTCAGTTTTGTTGCCAGATAGAAGGGTAAAGAACCAATTATCATATTTTTACTGGCAAATGAGGTCCCCATAGTGTAGATGCTTGCCCCGAGCTCTCATACTCTGATGGTGCATTGTCCTTGAGTTGTGCGCCTTTTGGCGTCATCTGGTCCAACCCATATGAGACTAGGCTCGAAGGAAAGCTGTCTCGGGTGTGGACCAATCAACTTCAAGGACAGTGCACATTATCAGAGTTATGTCTTTTGTTTGTATTTATGACTGCAGGTATTGCGGTCTATGCAAACATGACTCCTTGCAAAAAGGTGTCAGTTTTGTTGCCAGATAGAAGGGTAAAGAACCAATTATCATATTTTTACTGGCAAATGAGGTCCCCATAGTGTAGATGCTTGCCCCGAGCTCTCATACTCTGATGGTGCATTGTCCTTGAGTTGTGCGCCTTTTGGCGTCATCTGGTCCAACCCATATGAGACTAGGCTCGAAGGAAAGCTGTCTCGGGTGTGGACCAATCAACTTCAAGGACAGTGCACATTATCAGAGTTATGTCTTTTGTTTGTATTTATGACTGCAGGTATTGCGGTCTATGCAAACATGACTCCTTGCAAAAAGGTGTCAGTTTTGTTGCCAGATAGAAGGGTAAAGAACCAATTATCATATTTTTACTGGCAAATGAGGTCCCCATAGTGTAGATGCTTGCCCCGAGCTCTCATACTCTGATGGTGCATTGTCCTTGAGTTGTGCGCCTTTTGGCGTCATCTGGTCCAACCCATATGAGACTAGGCTCGAAGGAAAGCTGTCTCGGGTGTGGACCAATCAACTTCAAGGACAGTGCACATTATCAGAGTTATGTCTTTTGTTTGTATTTATGACTGCAGGTATTGCGGTCTATGCAAACATGACTCCTTGCAAAAAGGTGTCAGTTTTGTTGCCAGATAGAAGGGTAAAGAACCAATTATCATATTTTTACTGGCAAATGAGGTCCCCATAGTGTAGATGCTTGCCCCGAGCTCTCATACTCTGATGGTGCATTGTCCTTGAGTTGTGCGCCTTTTGGCGTCATCTGGTCCAACCCATATGAGACTAGGCTCGAAGGAAAGCTGTCTCGGGTGTGGACCAATCAACTTCAAGGACAGTGCACATTATCAGAGTTATGTCTTTTGTTTGTATTTATGACTGCAGGTATTGCGGTCTATGCAAACATGACTCCTTGCAAAAAGGTGTCAGTTTTGTTGCCAGATA